TCTTTATTAAGTGCCCCAGAAGCCAGCCATTATCAAGTCACACATTTCGCTGTGTGGATTCACCTCACCTGACAAATATCCTACAATGCCAGCAAAGCTATTACACGAACAGATTGGAGGAATAAAATATTAAACTTCCACTTATCCATCTTTTTAATGTGCTGTAACTCTAATGGCAGCCTTCAGCTTTTGCTCGGAGCAAAGCGCCACAACCGAGAGACTGAGTCAGCCATGCACACTCCCTCGTGGGGCAGGGCGATCATCTGTGGATGGGAAAGCATTATGTAAAACAGCATGTGTTTGTGCGCGCGCGTGTGTTTGTACGTGCGTGCACGCATCCATGCAAGCGGAAGGAACAAATTCATCTCAGAGTTCGCTCCGATATGGGCACTTTATTTATATAAATGGGAATATGTTGGTCCTTTGATGTTAGAAAGTACGGGATGCGCACGAGCGATTTCACAACTGGTGTGAAAATGTGTTAGCTGCGGATGCTGACAAGTGTCCCAGGAAAGCCAGTTCTTACTAGGGCTGGAGCTGGTGAATGGAAGGCGCTGAGATCGGATGCAAACGCCGTTGAATTATTCAGTCACGAGCCAAAAGGTCCTACCTGCAGCGAACCCTTTAGAGAGTCATCTTTGTTTCTGGTGCACAGTGAAACTAGATGTTGCTATTAATATTAATGTTAATGTTAATATTAATAATAATAATATCGCTGCCACCATCACAAGTTGTGAAGTGAGCAAACACAAGAGATGGTGCCTGCTTGTTGGAGGCGCCGAGATTTTGGACTGCCTCCCATTCAGAAATTCTCCTGGCTCCTTACTGATAGCTTTTCATACCAAAATGGAATATGCTTTTATGCAGTGTTAAGTCCTCTTGCTGTTTCTAATGCTTTTAATTCTTGCTTGTTCTTCTGGTTGCATCTTTTTTTTAATATTGCATGTTTGCTCTTTAACGCACAATTGCTCTTTTTCAAAGCTACTCTGGCACTTCCTGGTGGAAAGGCAGAGCGACAGGAGCACACAAAGCTGCCTTTGGACCAGGGGTCCATCTAGGCCAGTACGACTAACACTAACTGGCAGTTGCGGCTCCACTGGGTTTCAGCCAGGAGCTTCCCTAACCCCGCCTGCGGATGCTGGTAACATGACTTAGAATTTTCTGCAATGTGGCACATGGGGCAACGGTGATGCAGCTAGGTAAGCTATGTTGGGTTCCTCACAGGAGGAAAACCGTGAGATATAAATGCGACATGCCAACAGTGGCAGAGGCAAAAACATGGTGCGCAACGATCCAGATCTGTGTTGCAAAAAATGCACTTCTGCTTTGGTGGATAAGCGCCTTCACCATGTGCTGCTGAGGTGTAGGCTGGCTAAAGATGCATGCAAATCAAAACTGAGACAGGCATCACTCAGGCTGAATCTGCATCTTTTTCTTCTGTCCCTCCCTTGTCTTGGACCGAATAGGTTCGACAGGTTTCGGAGAGCTTCTGAACATGGACGACTCATTTGATCAGAGCAGGACGAAATCAAAACCATGCCAGGTCTATAGCAGTGTGCGTGTGTGTGTGTGGGCAGCCGGGCTGGAGCCCTGAGTCACTGGGTGCTTTTCTCATTCTGCCACCCCCTTTTCCTTCCCCACTCCTTCCCTTCAGCAGCTGGAAGGAGGGAACAGATCTCTCTTGCCAGTGGTCAGACCCGGCTGCACCCAGGGGGTTGCGATGTCAGCTGGGGAGCTGCAGGCTGCCCCCCCCCCACTTGCAGCACTGTCCTGCACACATCTGAAAGAGATGCTTCTCTTTGCCCCCACCTGCATCTCCCAGGGCGGGCTGGCAGCTGTCCAAGCTCCAATTGCTGCAAGCTATTCTTGGGGGAGATTTTGAGCACTGCCAGTGGTGCCTAAATTGCCAGCCAACCCCAAAATTTCTCCCTGTAATCACTGGGTGAGGTAGAGATTGCTAGCCCAATCGGCCCGTGGGGAGTCCAGGATAAACATATTCTCAGGCCATGAATGATTAACAAGGATTTTGCTTTGCACATCCAAGCCCAACTAGGCGGCTGCTAATCCCCTTGAACTTGGTATCTCCTGGCAAAGGCTCCTGAGCGGCATCCCACCCCGTTTACCACCTGGGCTTTCCCCATCCCATTTCCTTTCCCTTTTTGGCTTCATTTCTCACCAACAATTATTTTGATTAGAACTGTCAACTGATCAAAATAGCCTTTAATTGATTCATCATCTGCCTTTTCAACAGAGGCATCCATTAAATCACCACTTAAACTGTAAAGCACATTTGCATATCACCCAAACCTTGATACTGGAGACTTGCCGAGACAGATGAGAGAAGGAACCCTGAGACGACGGACTTCATTGTCAAGAGACGAGGCTTCCCAGGGAAGGCCCCTCTTACCATTTTGCTTTTCGATCTCTCTGTGGCAGGGAAAGGCCATTACAAAAACAGCCTTCCAGAACAAAAATGAAGGCGCCTTTTAAACTTGGAACCCATCGACTAAAAAGACACCATTGCCAATTAGTCTAGCAATTAAATCAATTAAATGCAGGGATGTGCTGCTGAAAATGGCTGGGCACTTCACCCGAGTAGCAATAGGCAGTCCACTGACAGATGAGCCTATAACTTTGTCCAGCTCTCTTTAAAATCCATTTGCTGCTTCTTCTACAAGCACGGCAGATACAGGAGCAAAGTGGAAGAATCCTGAAGTGGCAGAAAGAACTGTGCTGCTTCAAACCACAGAGGTAACGTCACATTTACACAAACAAACACGCCTTGCAAAGTAGAAAGCGAGTGCTGCAGGAAGAAGGCTGGGCAAGAAGCATCCTGGAAAGACACTCCAAAGGGGCACTCCCCACCAGCCAGTCCGATGCACCACCACCACCACCACCAGGTTGCCATTTTCCCCCCACAGTGACCATGCTCCCTGAAGCCAATGAGAAATGCAGTCCAGCAGGGGTCAAGTCGGGGAAGGCTATTCTTCCACATGGCAAGTAGCCATCTCAGGATCATGGGAAGGGATGCAACACTGCCATCAGCTCTGCTAAGAAGACACCTCTGTCAATCTCCTCCTTCCTGCAGCTGTTTCTCAGCTGGGAGAGGCCACTAAAGAACATCTGCAGGCAGGAGAGATGGCAGCAGCAGAAGTTCCCAGGGACCGCATCCTGCTCGTGCCTCTGCTTCAGCTGCAGCACCCCTGGATGCTGGCACTAATGGTGCACCCACTCCAGGGGCCAGCCTGAACTTTCAGGGGGCCACCTGTGGAGCTGCACCTATTTTGGGGCTTGGGTTCAGCATCACCAGCACCTCTGAAGGTTCAGACTACAACCCCAAGTGGACACCCCACCCCACTGAGGTTGGAGCTGCCTGCCAATGCAGGCAGAAGGCGAAAGGGGGATTTTGGCCAAATGTGTTTCCTTGCCAGTCCCTAGTCCTCAGGACAGGCATTTCAGCCTTGAAAACGGGGGGAAATTGCACAAGGGCTGGGGAACCACCGAGCTGCACTCACAGGTGTTTGGGTTTCCTTGGGCAGCTCTAGCATGACTTTTCTTAAGCTGCTGACCATGGAAAGTGGAATCGAGGGCTCAGAAGGCCAAACTCGGCCTCCAAGCATGAGGTTGGGCATCTCTGGTGTAAAGGCGCATTGTCTCGACACCTGGGGGGTTCCAGGCATCTGGATTGCCAAAGGGTGGACAGATCTTGCAGAGGAGGTGACCTAATGCAGCTCTTGGAGACCTCTTGGTTCCTCACCAAGCCACAAGTAAGGATGAAGAAAGCTGCTTTGCGCTGTGCCAGACCGTAAATGCACCTAGCCTAATGCTGTCTCCAGGCGAGTCCAGGTGCAACCGTGTGGACTGTACCAACCCATTCTCTAAACAAGGTAGGGGAGGGGAGGGGACCCTGTCCAGCAGGAAGGATGGAAGGGCTGTGCAATGCCTTTTTGATCAGAAGAGAGACCCCCAACTCTCAGCTTGCCCCAGCTGCAATTCGCAGGACGTTTCTCTCTAAAGATGCATAGGAGCATTGGCTGAGTGTCACATTGGCTCCTCATCATCTCCACCAGGTGGCACTCTGCCTGCTCTGTGACATCAGGGCAGTTCAGCCAATCACTACAAGAGGCTTTCATCAGCCACACAAAACTATCTTCTATGGCCGTACAGTGCAGTCATTCCTATTTAAAACACACGCTTGGAATTCTGGGCTAAATATTGAGCCTGCACGAACTCCGAATGTCATTTCCACTCATCGTCATCAACTGGACACCTCCAGAAGCCTCTTCGCTCACTCTCGCCTCGATAACAACATCCCCCAATTTTTAATGATGTCACCTGTGCCCCCCCCCCCCAATGTCATCCCTTCCTCCCATACTTCAGAGGAAGCCGTTTGTCTCCAGGGACCGTGTGACCAATTATCTTTAACAACTATAGAGATGAGCAACCAGGAAGCCAGTGTGTGCAATAATTTCCTTAGAACTAAGAATTAAAAGCAAACAAGTCCAACCATTTCAAACCAAGCCTACCAAGAAGCGAACAGAGGTCTTTCTGTCAGATGATCTCTATTCCTAAGGCATCTGCAAACAAACACTACCTCAGCCGACACGCACCTTTCTTCTTGCCCTTGCAGTGTTCCCTTCGGAATCTCTCTTTCTCTCACACACTCACTCACATGGCATGCAGCACTGCTTTAATGCGTTCCATGCTTACTTTGAACCAGACGTGGAAAGGAAAACAAGGGGAAGCCAAATGAATCAAAGCATCGGTGAACAAAAGGAGACGAGTGCCGGAGAAGCGATGACATGGAGAATCCCAGCAAAATCAGAGCTCCTTATGGGAAACACCCCCTGTGAGCACGGCAGGATGTACCACGGAACCCCTCCTGACCCAGAAGTGACAGCAAGACAGCAAAACGTTGCGCACACCGGAACGCCACATTTCCTCCTGCAACCCGCGCCCTTCTGCCACAGAGGGTGCCTTACACGGGGGTTGATTCCTACCTGTGACATTGACTTCCACCAGGCCCGATCGTGTGCCGATGGTGTTGGTGGCCTCACAGACATACGTCCCCGCTAGGCTGTAGGTGACTGGCCCCTTGAAGAACAAGGTGCTGTTTTGAACCTCCACGTTGTCCGGAAGCGATCCATTCATTCTGCCCAGAAAGGAAGACACCAAGGTCAGTGACCCAGGCTCTGTGGCCAGTGGATTCTGGCTACTCTGAGCTTCCATCACCATCTTCTGGACCCATGCGCAAAAGGAGAAGCAAGCCTAGCCAGCGGCTTTTGTCCATGTCTCCTACATCTAACGTCTTATCTGCATCTCAGCACACAGGTTTTCCTTCGAATAAGCTCTGATGGCAACAGATCCTGGGGCAAAGTGCTCTGAATGCCAGTCTAAACTGCGGGACACCTGCCTTCAAGGCTGTGCTCCACCACCAAACGCACAGTGCCCTTCGGCAAGTCTCTCTCTTTCTCAGCCCAACCTAAGCCACAGGGTTGTTGGGCAGCTAAGATGGAGAAGTGAAGAAACCCCACATCACCCAGATACCGTGGGAGGGGCAGGATCACAAAATATTTAAAATGGGGCCTGCCCCATGCCATTTATATTGAAATTGAAGGCTGGGTCTGATTCCTAAAGCAAAACAGGCTTAGGAATGGAGAACGGTGCTTGAGGCTCGCCTCCCTCAAACGTGCCTTTGGAGATGATGCTTCCCTGGCAGGAGAGGAGAGAGCCACCACGCAAGACGCCACAAGCGGGGAAAGCGGGGATTCATCCTCTCCCCACCATGTGTTTTAGCTCTTGCAGTCGGGACTCCTCCTCTTCCTGCTCTGGATGCAATACGGCAGGCGGACGGCTGCCCCGAGTGACCATCCCGGCCAGCCTTGTCTTGCTTCACTAAGGATGTACGGCCCTTTCATCCACGCTCAAAGAACTGAAGAAAACACCCCACTTGCAACCCTGAAGGTGAGTGTGGTTTGGGTCCTGCTAGCCAAATGCATCCTTTTTGGAAAATGGGCATTGCCCAAAGGACGCATTGTCATGCCTTCATTAATGGGGGAAGTCTGCGTGTGTGTGTGTGTGTTTTCCTATTGAAAAATGCACAGTTTTCCTATCCTGCACCCACCCCGAGGCAAAAGAAGCATCGAGGTGAGAAGGGAAAGCCTCAGTGAACAGAGAAGCAACCTTTCTTTCCCATTGCTACCTCTGCGTTGCAGTGGTTCTGCAAGGTTTCCAACAGAAACAGCAAGAAAAAGTCTCTCTCTCTCTCTCTCTCTCTCTCTCTCTCTCTCTCTCTCTCTCTCTCTCTCTCTCTCTCTCTCTCTCTCTCTCAATTTCTCTGTCTGAGAGCATGTGGGGTGGTTTTTTTCTAGCCCTGCCATCTGGAATCCTTTCATCTTATGCTGTGCTTTGTATCAGGGATAATTTATGCCAAGGCACTGTGGACAATTTATGATATGCCTGATTTTTATTTGTTGTAATTTCGTGGTTTTAAGCAAATCAATTAAGCTGAACTGAGATCGTTAACTGCAAGTGCTGGGACTTAATCTTGGAACCTTCTTTTTTCTTTAAAAAGGTTTGTCAGTGAGTTATGCTCATGCCATTTTTCTCGAGCAATGGACACTACCTAACATGGGCAGAGCTGTGCTGAAATCTCATGGCAAAAAGTTGGATTCTGCACCATGAACGGCCAAATCATTTGCATCAAATGCATAAGGGCATAATCGATTTTCCAGTTTGGGCAAAGAGTGAAGCTGTGCATTGAAGCCCTCCCCTTTGAAAACTGAACCCCTGAGCCCACCAGAAATCCTAATTATTCCCTACCCCAACACTCACACCAGCACATTTCTGCCTTTTGAGATTGGGCACATTTTGCACTGAGCTCTCTTTTGATATCTACAAAGCCTGAGGGGCTAGAACCTTGGTTTTATCCAAAGAAGCAGAGATTTGCAGCATCCCAAAATTGACGGGCAGTGACCATTCCTCAGCACTGGAACAGGACTTAATTTGTCTGCTCTCCATACAACTCATGTTGTCAACAGTATCATCTCACCTCTCTGTTCATGCTTGTTTGTCCACGAGGGACTGCAATATTAGCTCCGTGGCATTACCCAAGAACAAAACGGGAGCAACATGGTGATGAATCAATCCCAAAGCGTTTTGGAAAGTCATGGAACAAAGAAGCATAAACAATTCTGCACACACGGGAAGAGAATTATGCAGTCCGCTCATTTTTAATTACCAACACAAGGTAAAGCAATTACTTTAGCTCAAGCAATTGGGCTGCCTCTAACGCAGCAGCAGAGTACTAGCTTTGCATGTCGAAGGCCCCAGGTTCAGATTGCAAAGCCTCCAATTAAAAGGAGCGGGCAGTGGGTGAGGGGGAAGCCCCTCCACCCCGAATTTACAGAGCTGTCTCCTTCGGATTGGGTAGACAAGGCTGGGCCAGGTGCAGGAATGGAGTGGCCTGCAGTCACAATTTTAAGGAACATGACTAGTTTCCCTAATGATGGAGAGCCCGTGTGGTGCAGTGGTTAAGATCACGGGACTGGGACTCGGGCGACCTGGGATCCAGTCCCCACTCAGCCATGGAGCCCACTGGGTGACTTTGGGCCAGTCACAGACCCTCAGTCCAACCTACCTCACAGGGTTGTTGTTGTGGGGATAAGACTGAGAGGAGGAGGAGAACGATGGAAGTCGCCCTGAGTTCCTTGGAAGGAAAGAAGGCAGGATATAAAAATAATAAATGGGCACAGGAAACCGCAAGACACTTGTAGTACATGAGTAGAAATAACTTGGGTTTGGATCTGGCTCAGTTAAGAGTCAAAGGACAAATATTTAAACTGGCAAAGGCTTAGAGCAGGAGAGGGGAGGGGAGCCCCATTCAGCCTGAGGGTCACATGACTTACAGAGCGACTCTTGGGGGGCTGCTTCCCACGGGTGGACAGGAACAGGGCAAGGAGGGTGGGCCAGATGCCAAATTTGTCACGTGATGCTCTGGAGCAGTTGGGGGAAAGGTTAGGCTCTCAAAGGAAGCCAGATTTGGCTCTCCAGCCCTGACTCCGAAACAGCAAAGGTGTTCATGACTGAAAGCAAACCACATGCATCCCAACGATCAAGAAAAGAAGTCAGCAAGAAAGAGCCCGGTGCACTCCTGTGCAGAGGCCCAGAGCTTAATTTGGGGTAGCTAAAGAACAGAGCAAGGTCAGAGTCAGTCTTGAAAAGAAGCCCTTAAGATGCTAGCCAACAGGAGAGTCATCGCCTGCTCACCTAGTCATACCTACGGTAGTCATGGGGAGCCTGAAAGAAAAGAAAAAGCATCACTTTTGTAAATTGTTGACTTGCTTTCTTCCTTCTGCTCCTGGAAGCATGGCAGGTCAGAACGAGGGGGAGCAGCCCTTGCCGCCTGGGCAGTGGAAGCGCCACCCCCAATTTATTGCCTTCCTCACCAGATATAAAAACTGGCGTTGTGCTTCCCTGGCTATAATCTTTAAGGTATCCTTATTTGGGAGCCGCTCTTGAAATGTCCACAACGTGAGGGCTGACCCAGCCGGCTCGATGTTTTTGATGATGGATGTTGTTTGTAGTTTTCTTTTTGGTTTTTTTAGGATTATAATTTCAAATAAAACTTATTAAAAAAAAAACAATGTGGAACCAAGTATGTGCTGGAGCCCATGAGCAGAGGGTAGCAGAAACCTTGCCAGTGGAAAGGTGGTGAGTTGTTCCCTCCAGCAAAATTGCTTCATTGTCCTGACCCAGGATTGGATCCTTCTGCCTTGGGTGCTTCTAGTGAAATGAGTAACTAAAACGGGGGGCAGCTTTTTTGGCAGTGGCCTCCCAGTTAAGGAACTGACTAACCATTCTAGTAGCAAGGTTTGGTTTTGGTTTGCCCACACCATTTAAATAATACACACAATCTGAACTCCTCCATTCTAAAATCTGTATTTCTAATGCAAGGGAGGCTGTGAATTTTTCATGCCTCTTTTGATGCTACTTCATGCTCCATTTTGTATATCTAAGTTGTTTTTAATGTTTATTTATTGTAAGCCGCCCAGAGGAGCTCACATTATGGAGTGGCACAGGGATGACAAAATTACAGGAATTACCATCCAGTTGCGAGATGCATTGCGTCGCCTACGGAGGGGGCTGGGGGCTGGGGAATTGCATTATTGGGCCTAGTGCTAAGAACAAAAGGTGCTTTCCCCCCATTAAATGGAAAGATTCACCAGAGTGTATAAAAAGCAACGGGGGTGAGAACTTGCTTCTCTGCACCATCGCTCCAAGGAAGACATCCGTTTGCAGCCCTTTCCTCGGTGGTTGCTGCTGGTACCTGCTAAAAGGAATCTGTAAGCCGTGAATCAGCTGATGCGTTGCACAGGCTGGTCTCGGGCAAAGGAGGGAAATGCCTTCCCATCCCACCTACCCTTTCTCCCTTTCCGAGCCTGCCCCGTTGCGGTTCGCCCTTTGCACTCAGCAGAAAATGTTAACCCCCTTTCTCCTCCTTTCTCTCTTTGCGCTGCACCAATCTCTCCTTTATTCCTTCCCAGTCAATAAAGCTGCAAGCAAAGCCCTTAATTCACCTGCAGAACCTGCAGGAGAGAAGACTGCGGAGGGAGGAGGGCCTTTCGTGCTAACCTGCAACAACCGTCTCCTCTTCCATCTGCTTTTTGAGATTTCAACCAGGAGTCATGGGTTTCTTTGGGGTTCAGAGACTTACTCCTAACCAATGTCCACAGAGAAGCCGGTGGGGTGAGATTAAGTAGGGAAGATTTGGGATGAGGGCACTGTAAGCCTGACAGCCTGCATCAGGACTAAATCATTAGCTGAGGCTTGAAAAGAAAGCCTGCAAGAAGGGGTGATGCTCCCCGCATTTTCTGCTGTGGCTGAATTTATGCTCGACTGAGTCCACTGTGCTGATTTAGCTGCCCATAAATTATGGGCATGCAGGAAGCGTGGTGCACAGAGCCCGTGCGACATGGCACAGTTGTAAACGTCTTTGTTTTCTCAAAAGGACTGGTGGAGCATTACAACTTGCACGTGAATGAGCCTTCTTGTACATTGGCCACATCTATCCATGTCTACATTGTGCATCGCAGTGACGAGGGAAAAGGCACTGTGCGTTTGCTCAGAGGGGCTCTCATGATGCTGTAAGAAGGAGTCGGACCAGGCTCAAAGATCAGCCTCTGAGATCCCTGATGACATAGGAGAAGAGGCAGGGCATTTTTGGTAGTGGCCCGATAGTAGTGGAAAGCCCTCCCCTAGGAAGTGTGACTGTCGGAACTCATGGCATTTTATTTCAATCCACCTTTTATTAATTGTAGCACCTTTAGAAAGTTTAGTGGCCAATTTTAAGGGGCGTGATGTCTCTTTCGGCTTATAAAAATCCTATGCTTGTTGCACATTCACTTTGTACATTTGGTTTTCTGGAGATAATTTCCCTGGAAATGGAGTTCTAAATCTTTAAATCAGTAAAAATAAATCAAGCCTCCTGAATTCATCTGAAAATCAAACCTGGCCTGGTCTCTTTTTGGGCAAGATAAATAATACACAAACATGAAGTCAAATTCCTGAGGGTGAAAATAGTTGCCCTTGTATGTAGCCAGGATTAGTCACATTCAGTACAACTGAAAGTACTTCTCCGTGGCTTGGAAAAGGGAGATTTGGCAAGTAGGTCCAAAACAGTCATCCTAGCACACTGTACATGTGTCTCTCCCTCAAAATATGGGACTGCGAAGTATACCGTGAAATGGCACAGGTACAGTCACACCATCCGGAAAAGTGAAATTTGGCACAATCACTTACAGCGATCCTATACATGTTTAGACAGGAAGGAAGATCTACACCTCAAAGTAGGAGGACTTTTTTCAGTCTAAACATACATTAGGTTGCACCCTTAGCTTTATATCCAATTAAGTTTTAAAAAAAGCGCTTTCTGAAAAGTGGAAGTGCCGGGTGGCGTTTGCAGACTGGTGACTAGATTTTCTCCGACAGGAGTGGCAGAACTGGCTTCCACCTTGGGAAACACCAAGATAATTGCACTTGGCATGAGGCTATAGCTTTTGTTGGCATAATCGTATAATTGACCTTGAAGCCTGAAATGGAATCCATTCTGCCAGCTCCGTAAAATGCATGTTTAATTCAGCCTCCCGCAACGGGGGCTTTCCAGATGTGTTGGACCACAACTGACATCATCCCCTAAATTATCTGAAATCCAAATGGCTGACTGGCTCTCCCAGCACTGCCTGCTTTGGTCTTGTGCAACCTGGTGCTCTACAGGAGTAATGAACTACAGTTCCTATCATCCCCCAGCCAGCATAGCCAAAACTATCTCCCCTTCTAGTCAAGGTGAACATGGACAGCCATGTTCTCTTCCTTTGGTATAGGAATGGTTCTCTTTACACACACACACACACACACACACACACACACTTTTTCACACTGGCAAAGACTTGGTTGAATAAAATTACTTTATAAAGCTCTGTGGACCTGGAAATTGAAATAAAATGGAAGAGACAGCCCTGACTTCCATCTGCACTGACAACCCTCTTCTCCGGGGGCCTTGACTTATGCATCAAAGATTTGGTTGATGCTTTTCCATTCTAGTTCGGTCTTTTCTCTTCAATCCCAGTCTACCCTGGTCAACAGTTAGAAATTCTGGAGGCCATAGAGCAAAACATTTGGAGAGGTGCTACATTCATCCTTCTGGGTTGTCCATGCTATGGAGGAGATGTCAGCAATTTGGAGGTCTCCTGGCCAAAGATCCCTTTCTGTTGGCCTTGTTCCCATCGGAAGTGGCAGATGAAGTGGTCAACCTCAGTTCTGACAGTATCTGCTTTCAGACCAAATGCAGGAGCTCCCAGGATTGAATGCTGCTCCAGGCAAAAGAAATAAAAATCCCCACCCACTGAAAAGCCATCCTGGGCTAGAAGAAGGTCTGCTTGACATGCTGGCTTTCTAGACATGGTGCTTTCTTAACACGGTTGTGTTAAATGGCAAAGCATTCCATCCTGCAAGCTGTAACCCGCAGCCCGAACTGGTACGGTCCAGACCCAGGACTGCCAGCTCCACTTCTGCTGTTTGTGAGAACTAGGCCGTTTACTCACCCACCCGACTCCATCCGGGTTATCCCAGGCAAACACACTGTGAGTCACCGGCTGCTGATCAAATCTGTCTGCCTGGAAACACACACACACACAGCCTCCTCTCCATCCGGCTAGCCAGGGATGCTTACTGGGGTGGAAACTGATCTCCCTGATTAGTTGCTGAATGAGGATGATGGAAAATTTACAAAGAGAGGATATTTGCAGATGTCAGGAATGGACAGGCTTGTCCAATGAACTTTTTAAAATTTCTATTTTGCTCAAAGCTTCAGACCCACCAACTGAAATCCGGAGCAAAACAGCACATGGGGTGGGGTGAATGATCGACTCTCTCCATGAGCAGCAAGTGGAGTTGCCTCAGATCTGTGTCACTACCCATCAGAGCATCCCACAACCTAATTTTACTTTGCTGCTGCTGGGGAGACTTTCCCTTGCGGGGTGATTAGCACCGGCTGCATTCTCACATCATTAATCCACAGAGCCAGGCCCTGTGCTGTCTGCAGCGGTGCACATGTGTCTGAAGACCAGACACAGAAACTCACCAGAAGGAACTCAAACACTAGACAAAAACGGGCAGAAAGAAAAGCAGCCCATCAGGGAAGCCCCATCTCCCTTATATGCTAGCTTTCTATGTGCAGGGCATTCTATTTTTTATTCTGCGATTGAACAGCATTCGGTTACATGAAGCCTCTGGCAGATCTGGCTTCCACCTGTTCTATGGGATGCGAGGGCAATTGTGCAGCACCAGAAATCTTTTCCCTGGCTGATCTGCCCCCTGCTCCCCCACCCCCCCCCCCGCCCCCACGGCCACACGGGTATGTTAGGCAGGAGGCAGGTGCTTACAGCTTCCACTGGTAGAGGGTGGCTGGAGGGTTTGCATCAGAGATGCACGTCAGTTTCACGTCCTTCCGGTTCAGGTACCAGTTGCCATCAAAGCCATCAATCCTCACTTCAGGCTCGTCTGTGAGTGGAAGGAAGAAGAAGAAGGGCAGGAGGAGGGAGAGGGGGAGGTTGAAACCATGGCCAGGGGGAGGGAAGCGGGGAGAGAAAGACCAGAACAGAGAAGGTAATGGATGGAGGAGGAAGAGGGAGAGAGGTGAGGAAGGGCAGGGTAGAAATGGATGAGGGAGGAGAACAAGCAGTCATTAATAACTGTTCTCACACCTCAAAGCAACGGTTAATTCCTACATGGAGAGTTGCTAGAGAAACAATGCTAACTGTACATTTCCAGGAGATGGTTGTGGGTACCCTGGAGTGAGAGAGGGGTCCTCTTCACGTGCTCAGGGATTCTTTACCCATTCCAGAAGGGAACCCTGACATCAAAACCAAACCCTGCGCCCCTATCCATCGGTGTGCTGTTTAACACTAATCTTGCATTGTTCATGTTAATATAAATGGGCAAGTGTTGTACACAAACAGAGCACAGGAACAGAGTTAAGGAAGGTCTGTTATTACTGTTCGGAGAAGGCGGCTCTCGCAGCTCTCTTGGCAGGGACGACCCAGAAGGGCTGGTCCAGCAGAGCGTTCCTCTCACTTCCAAGCCACAGAGGGCTGGATCGCTGCAATGTGGGCGCCGCCAGGAGTGCGGAGCCGGCGGGTCCCTGTGGGGCAGCCGCTGCACACGTCGGCTAAGGCCTGCCCTTACCCACCCCGAATCAGACCTTGGCCCGGGGCTTCCCCACGGCTCCCACTTACACAGCACGTTGAGGGTCATGCTGTCAGTGAAGCGGTCCAGCTGGTAGTTGACCACACACATGAGCTGCTGCTGGTGAGCCTCCCGGCTGGGCAGGAGGCGGTAGCGGCTGATCACCGTGAAGGTGCCGTTGGCATTCCGGATCTCCTGGAACTCGGCCTCCCCCTTCAGCTTGGTGTCCCAGGTCACGGTGCTGGGAGGCTTCCCGTTGGAGGAAGTGCAAGTGGCCACCAAAATCTTCTCCGTCAGGCCGGCCCGGGCGATCAGGGGGCTCGTCGTGCCCTCCATCCGGTTTGTTGGCTTGGCTAAGCAAAAGTGAAGGCACAGAAAGGTGAGCGGAGGGGAGCTGGGCAATTATCTATCCCCAGGCAGAAGTGACATACAGTCTAGTGTCTCTGAACTAATTTCTGCCAGATCCATAAGTGGTTCAAAACCAAAGTAACCTCAGTGGCTCCTCCTGGAATTCACTGGAGCTCCTGGCCATTTGTAAAAAGTGAACGTTGTCTCAGGGCTATCCAATGACGGTGCAAAGATGGGTTCCCTGCAGAGCTTGAACTGATTAGAATTCCCCATTTCATTAAAGCAAGGAAACAAGTTTCAAGTCCTTATTGAGCTGTGGCCATGTGCAAAGAGCACCACAAAAATCACCAAACTGTGGAAGGCAGAAGGCCTCTGTCATAGAGAGTTGCCTGCGATTGTATTTATGGATGTCATAGAATCACAAAATAGTAGAGTTGGAAGGGGCCATGAAGGCCATAAAGTCCACCCCTGCTGTTGCAGGACACCACATCACACCATCCCACTCAGGTGGCTGCCAAGTTTCTTTTTGAATGTCTCTCGTGTGGGAGAGCCCCCCACTTCTTTGGGCAGCTGGTTCCACCATCGTATTGCTCTGACAGTGAGGAAGCTTTTCCTGATATCTAGCCTGAATCTGAGTTGCCACAGCTTGATTATTCCATGTCCTACACTCTGGTATCAGTAAGAAGAGATCTTGACCTTCCTCTTTGGGACAGCCTTTGAGGTACTTATGGAGGGATATCCTGTCCCCCTTCAGTCTTCTCTTCTCAAAGCTGAACATGCCCAGTTCGCTCAGTCCCTCCTCACAGGGCAGTGTTTCCAAACCCTGGATCAGTTTTGTTGCCCTCCGCTGGACCCTTTCTAATTTACCTGCATCTTTCCTAAATCTTGGTGCCCAGGACTGGGCATGGTATTCCAGGTGAGGTCTGACTAGTGAGGCGTATAGAGGAACTGTTTCATCTTATGCCCCCAGTGCCATTCCTCCCACAGCCCCCGGCCCCCACCTTCTGTCACTGGCAGCCAGGGAGATGCGGAGAGAGAACGGGGCAGGGCTTGAATCGAGAAAAGCCAGACAAGCCCCAGAAAAGCCAAGCGGATGCTGGGTGACTTCCTCCTGAGATTCCTCTGGGACCGCAAAGCCATCCAAACAGGCTTTGCCACACCCTTGGGAAATAGGTCAGAGCAGCGATTGTCACTACAAGGCAGAGACGGGGCAGCAAAGCGCTTCTCTCGCCTCGGTGACTCTGCAAGACAGCGTGGAATTAATAACGAGGATGAGGATGAGGGAGCAAGGATGGATGGATGGAAGGACAGGACCTGCAGAATGGATTCTCATGTGACATTCTGCACCCGGATGCACACTGTATCCGTTCGCAGCTTGCTGGAATTCAGAATCCATGTCTTTTCATTTTATCCCTATTGTTTTGATTCTGCTCTTGCAGTGGAAAAAGCTGCAGGGTCGGTGGCAGCAGGCTTAAGATATGCATGCCAGGGGGCTCTGGGGGGGCTTCAGGGTGTGGGCAGCCCTTGTCACGTGGAGACCTCCTTGCTCTTCCACAGCTCCGGTTCATTTCAAAGGGACTTGCACAAGAGGACTGTGCCCTGAGGGTGGTGCAGATGGGCTGGCCGCAGCTTTACAACTGGAGTGGAGAAAAATCTTAACTGTTAAGTGGAAGTGGAGGAAGAGGCTGGGGGAACACTGGCGGGGGAGAGCCAGTGTGGCATGGTGGTTAAGAGCATGGGACTGGGACTCAGGTGATCCGGGTTCTGGTCCCTGCTCAGCCATGGAGCCAACTGGGTGACTTTGGGCCAGTTACAGACTCTCAGCCCAACCTACCTCACAGGGTGGTTGTTGTGGGGATAAGATGGAGGAGGAGATTTATGTAAGCTGCCTTGAGCCCTTTGTAGGAAAAAGGCAGGATATAAATCAGGAAAAAAAACACACAGGCTGTGATTACGGGGCTGCTCTACGATTAGGGCTGAGCCAAAGCTGCACGGGTGTAAATTGGGATGGTGTGAATGGGTGTCCTGCAACAGCAGGGGGGTGGACCCCGTGGCCTTCATGGCCCCTTCCAACTCTACTATTCTATGGGTGAACAATTTCTGTGCAAGCAGAAAGGGGGGGAAATAAAAGGAAGAAAGATTTAGGAGTCAAAAGGTGTTATCTGAAATAAGCATTCTCAAAAATTTGCCTGTTTGACAGAATTTATCTATCCCCCTGCCCCTGCACTGTTCTCAGCCAGTGTGATGACATCATGGCAGCACCTAGCCAATCAGATGGAGCTACGTGATGACATCACAAAGCTGTACAAGGGTGAGGATGAATATTTTCTGCTCTTGCTCTGAATCCTGAGCCATCCTCCTCTGTTTAGCAGCTCCCCCCATGCACATCATTGCCCTCTGTGAGGTGTGTGAGTGCGGCTATTTTGCTGCCTGCAATCGTGTTTGCACAATACGCCCCTTTGCTTTGGCAGAGTGCAGGAGGAACGTGGGCACGCCTGGCCTAGAGGCTTGGGGTGGGAAAGCTATCCTTTTCCAGCAAAGAAGCCATAGCCCCGGACAGCTCTGCTGCGGCTGACCCTTTGCCGAAGCCTCCACTCAACAGGAAATGGGAGTCCGCATGGGCCACCTACCCAAGACGGTGAGATTGAGCTGATTCTCCCGATTGCCGGTGGGGAATGTTGCGAATTCGCAGATGTAAACACCCTCGTCCTCCAGTTCGAGGCTCGACAGCTGGATGGTGCCATCCGTGATGGAGGGGTCCCGGAAGGTCACTCTCTCCTTGTAGGGGGGCAGGATGGAGACGCCCATGCTGGGGTTGAAGATCGCGATATTCTGTTTGGAGCCGTTGGTGGCCTTCTGCCAGGTGACTTGCGTGATCTTCACATTGGGGAAGGGGTTGGTCAGGCTGCAGTGCAGGACCACGTCAGTCCCAATGTACCCTGAGACGGTGTCGTTGACCAGCACCATCTGAGCCCAGAGGCCTGCAATGGGAGCAGGGGGAAGGGGTGGGGAGACAAAAGACAGGAACCCGTCAGATGCTGCAGGGAAATGCCCCCCGTTTCCAGGATACCTGCCTACCACTGGTCCAACTAATTCTCCATGCTTACCATTTTGAAGCAGCAGGGCTTGCACAAGCCTTCCTAAAGATGGCTCAAGGCTTCTTGGAGATATTAGGAAAGAGAGAGAGAGATTTCCCATTCCTGATAGATACCTTATCAAAGTACGTTTTTGTTTTCAGAGCCTCAAGGAAGTTGACACAACAATGAAGCAGACTTGCATAAGAGTCTACACCTGGGTTACTCATTTGTGCCTAAGGAGGGTGCGGAACGGGCAAAGGGGGGAACTTCTACTCCATTCCCCGGCTTTGTGGGCTGGAGGAAATTCCCTGTTGCCTTTGCCAGTCACTGAGTGACTCTCCCAGCCTGTATGGCCAATTCACACCTGTATGTGCAAAGACTGTTGACCTCCGTATTCAGCAATCGCCTGCATGTCTGAATGAGCCATCCTGCATTTAATGCCGCCTTTGGAATCCTTGCGTCACCTCAGCAAACCCTGGTGCTTCCCAGTGGCGACCCTGCACAGCTTCAGTTTCTAAGCCTTGGATAGCCATGATGGGCATCCAGCGAGGACACGGGAGTGTGAACCAACCCACATGGACTGAGTTGGGCTCGTCACAAGAGAAACGGCCACACCCATGATGCCTGACCCACAAGCTGCAACTGCAGAGATACATGTGTCTAGATATCAAGTTGGGGTTTACAGGCAGTACCGCCTTCTCCATTCGAGATCCAGCCAGCTGCCTTGGAGTGCAACGCCCATTAGCCACAGACAGCCATGGGCCATATGGTTGGGGATGCAGTCCAGAGAGAGTTGGATGGCACTCCATTGGGGAAGCCTAAGTGAATAAATCCGACAGGCAAAGCAAACATTTCCAGGCGGCAGAAGGTCCCAGCACTTCTGTCTGCCTGCCTTGCGCCACTCGAATAACAGGAAAGCAGAATAAAGAGAGTAGAAATGGCAAAATTATGCAAAATGTGAAGAGACAATCATGCAACCGGGCTCTTTGTATAATTTATACCCACTAAAACCTTACAGTGCAATCCGATCCATGTTTACTCAGAGGGAAGTCCCACTGAGTTCAATGCAGCTTAATTTCTAGTCTGTTTGGGACTGCAACATTAGGAGGTTAATTACTTGAGTTTTTGCTGATTAATCAATTAATTAAACACTGGTGCACAGACAGTGTTTGGAGAACTGGAGCATGTTCTGGAATGGGGTGGGGGGAGTCCTTGTTGACCGCTTTTGTGGCAATAGGAGTTTTATGCTGAGCGCTGGATGTTTGGAAGCGGCTGTCATTATCTCAGGTGAAGCTTTCGCCTTCTAACAAGGCAGGGAGAAGTCTCACAAGATAGTCACCCTTTCATTTCAGCCTTTTCCCCCCTTCAAATTTCTGCTGCTGCCGAGACTCTCCCTAATCTGCTTGTTTAGAGATAACACTACAATAATTATACAGCCAGTGTTTATATTTAAAACAGAGCAAGATGTGGGGAAAGGAGTGATGGTAAAAGCACAGTGGAGAATCGGAGAACTGGAAAAGCAGGTCCTCCCGGAAAGACTGAAGAAGGGAGGTGCAAAGCCAGCAAGAGAACAAAGATTTGATGGGAAACAAGGGAGGGAGAAGAGGAGAGCAAGAGAAATGGGGGAGGAGGAGGAGGAGGAAAAGCAAGAGGAAAAGCAAAAGCAAAAGCAGTCTGAGTGGAAATGCTGCCTTTAAAACTGAGAGGAACAGAGGTAAATGCATCTGTCAGTTTTGCTTTCTCTGGGTTCCTTATTTTCTTAATCTTTGATTCAGCTCATCCTTAACTTTGAGAACTATTGTGTATATTTCTCTTAATGCATACATTAAAATGTGTATTCTGTATCACTTCTTGGCTAATATGCACATTTTGGCAAACAATTCTCTAACAGAATGCATTTTAAACGCTATTCCCTCATGTTTGAATATATTTTTAAAAATTGGATGACTCTAATGCAAAATTCAGAAAAGTGTGAGTTTTGAAGGATAAACGAATTTTCATTTGCATACCAGTTCTCATTAAATTCATTAAAATGAGAACGGAACAATTCCTCCCCCATCCTTTGAATGAAGCATAATTGCTTCTGCTCACAGGAGGAAAGGGAAATCCACCATCTAATATGGAGGGTTCAAACATTTCTGCCTTCTGTAAAGGGTGCCGTGAACCTTTGCTGCAGAAGGCCTATGCACTGCAAAAGATTATGGGATGTATTTTCAGTCAGATCCTAAAGAAACGGGATGCTCTAGGCAGGCCTTCCTGGCTTGAATGGCCATCAGCCTCTATGAAAACAGTTTCTTACAATGCCATCCTATGGCTGAATGTTGTAGGAGAAGGCATGTAGACATCTTGTTGAAGAAGCCCTGAGAAACTTCCAGAAATTCCCCGTATATTCCAGGACATTCTGGGAAAAACCACTGAGCCAATTCAATAAGAGAAGACAAAGATGGCTCTTAACTGCACTTTCACTGGAGGAAGATGAATCTGTCGATTTCAGTTTCTCTTTGTTTCCAGTCTTTCATTCACTTCCTTCCAAACTTTAAGCAAGTTTCCATTTTTAAGTTGGGTTTGTCCCAAACTCTGATCCTTCAAAACGAACCAAACATGCCTTGCTTATTTGTTCTAAAGCATTTTGCTAAACAGTTCTCTAGATACAGACATTGTTGGATACAATTTTGCCTGATGGAAACATTTATTTATCTAACACTTTTATATATCGTCACAAGAGCCTCATGGCTCTCTGGATGGTTTACACTATCTTCACTTAACACATGGATTTTTGTGCATGTGTTCCCCTAATTTGTGTGGGTGTGTATTTACTGATTGGGGAACTCCACTGCAACATCTGGAGAAGTCTGGAGGTTCAGGTGACCTCATCAGGTTACAGAGTTGGAAGGGGGCATTTAGTCCACAGGGCCCCCCCACCCATCCCGTTTCAAGCACCCCGGACAGAGGCCACCCAATTTCTGCCTGAATGCATCCAGGGACTGGATTGAATTGGGGTGCTGCATAATTGCCTACAGCAGAAAGCAACGCCCCATTAGAGGTGCATGTGCAAAGCGGCCCACGACGGCTCTGGGGTGCTGCCCATGCAGGCTCACTAGCGTTCAGACGGCCAGTCGTGTTTCTCTGACTGTTTAGGTGCCTCTCCTGTCCGCTGGCATGCTGGAGGCAGCGCAGCTCTCAATACCAGCGGAGGGAGAAGATGAGTGGGAGGTTGAAATACCGGCTGCCCACATCCATGCCTGATCACATGATCCAGTCGCCACAGGGCAATTTCATGTTGTTGCAAGACAGGCTGGGCAGCCTTTCCGTGCGGCTGCTTTCCTCTTAAGGCATCCCGTGGTCACCACATTTCTGTTCTGCATGCACATCGAGCGGTGCCCACTTCCTCCACCTGAAGGGCCGTGCCGTGACTGGTCAGCCATCGCCTGCCATGGCCACATCACCAGAGTCGCACTGCCTCCAGAAACCAGCACATGGGCATTCCCGTGCTGGGCTACCAAGCCCGGCTTGGCTCCGCCGGAACATTGCTGGTGTCAAGAGATGGGCAGCGGCTCCACGCAAGGTTGCATGAAATTCCTTCAGGCCCTGGACCACCTGCCCAGAAAGGCTGGCCAGTGCGTCCTCCTGAAAACGCCATAGAGGCCTCCCTGTCCTGATGAACTTTGGTCAAAAACGAGGTCCTGAAGGCCCCTCGGCAGCAGCACAAGCAGAAACCGGACCCGGCAATGTGCGCACAGTGGAGAGGCTACTGCAGGTCTGCCAGGGCTAAACCCAGCAGACCGGGGCCCAGTGGGACCAAGCGTTGGCGTCCTCCTTGACATCATGGCTCTGCCACCCTCCCTGCACTTCCTGTTTCCTGGGAGCGTAGCTGCAACCCACACAGGACTTGCAGCGGGGAGCGACTTACACTAACAAATAAATCAGGAAACAAGATATCGCTCCCTGTTGTGCTGCGAGCTATTTTAGGGTGGGTTGCTCATGAACGGATATTTAAGACGCATTAGCTTTCTGGAAGGTCTGCTCCTGATGGGAGGAAAGTGGAGAACCCTTGGCCATGGGGAGGCATAAAATGAAATGCATGCATACATACATATAGACGCACACAGCCAGAACTGGATAGTTGATGGGCATTAACCCAGCAGCCTGTATTTTTAGACTTGCCTGGGGGGCATATTTGGAGGGTCTGTCATGATGAGCCTCTGCACCCCAAATTGCACCACTATCCCATTGGTGAAGGCTGTTGGGGCGTTCATTGGATGCACAGGTCTTGGGCCTGGCTTGGTGGAACGAGCCAGGCCCATCTTGGCACAGGTGATGGAGAGGAAGCCCGTCATTTCAACTGCTCTGGGCCCTTTCACCTGATGATTCTCCCCAATCCAGCACATGCCCCATGCAAGGTTTGTGGGTGGGCAAGCAATGAGCAATGCCACCATAATAATGTGTTCCAGAGCAACTCCACTCACACCGCAAAGCAGTCCATGGCTTTGTGTGCTGCATGCGTCAAAGGGAACACAATAGAATCCTGCCATCCAAACCAGGTGCCAAAAAGCCGAATTCTATGTATGAAGCCTGCATGTCAGGGCCAAGCTGATTCTTACTCCAGTGTAGATTTGAGCAAAAACACCCCAAATTGGGGCTGCACAAGCTGGTGCGAGGGTAAAGTAACCCATCACTCATTGGCTGCTACGGATGATTACAAGAACATCTCCTTTTTGCGTTTGCAGGCAAACTCCAGTTCTCCAGTTTGCCTGCTTTGCACAGGATGCAAGAGAGCCTGGGGGCCTTCAGCCAATGTGCATGGAAAGAGGTGCCGGGATGCAGCCACAGTGGCTCTCAGTGGGAGCCAAGGCAGTGGGCACGCCGAGCGCACCAGCCCTACGCTCCCTCTGCCCTGCCAGGCA